CTACTACTTGATCTGCTGGTCGTGATCAATTCGTTGTGATTGATTCGATATAAATTGAACGCAGTTAGTTGATTAGTTTTTCTTTTCATTTATTCAGAGCCATGCGGTTGTTCTATGGTGGTTGTCTGCTTCAATAGGGCTCGATTGTATCGATAGTATTGGTTTATCCAGGAATATTACTATCCGATCTCAGGAATTTTTAAAAAGCTCCTGTTGATTCTCCATGTTGAATCATCGAAGTTTCTGCAGAAGCCACAAATGTTTTCGTCGGATCTACGTTATTTCCGATTTTCCTTCAAGGAATATGTTCCAGAATTGATACCGTTTAGTACTACTAGCGATTGATACTAGGAACTCTGTGCTTTACTAGATTCTATGTTTTTTCTTTGATAACATGATCAAATTATAGTATTCTGTAATGTTTTAAGCATTATTATTATTACTAGTAGTTTGTAATCGAATTTGCCATTTGTGACTGATTTATATTCATAGGTAATTAGGCAATGAACACTTTATGCACTAGACTTTATTATTATTATTATTAGTTAACGGAAATTTTAGCAGCATAAGTGCAGTTTTGAAGCAAATTTGGAGAGAGCAGTGTACATAGTCAAATGATGAAGAACCACATGAAAGGATGAGATGATACAAGTTGTTCTAGTAGCATTATAGGAGGATTTTGAATTTTGAAGAGTTTAAATCCAAAAGTGTGGAAAATCCGATCGATGTTTTGGCCTGCAGATAGGTGGTGACTGATATGGATAGGTATCGAGGAAGTCCGAGAGGCGCTTGCGTCGGGTCGGTCGGTTTCAGGAGATGTTTTAGTAGCCTGGTGCGGTTCTGGGTGGTGGGCAGTGGTCACAGCTGCCTTTCGGTCCAGCCGGGCCATCCTCGCCCTTCTCACCGTTCGGCCCGTCGTGACCGGCCGCGCCGTCTTTGCCGTTTGGTCCTGGTGGTCCTCGGGGTCCTTTGCGGCCTGGCATGCCTGGTCGTCCGTCGGGGCCTTTCTCGCCTGGTGGTCCCATCGGGCCTGGTGGTCCG